ACTCCTGCAACCCTCATTTTACAAAGAGTAAGGGAAGACAGAGGAAAAGTGCTCTCTCTGACTTCCTGCTATGTAGACAGTGCCAAAAGCTAAAATAAACTATTTCGACTTAAGCTATGCAACTGACATAGCTCAAGTTGCATAGCTTATTTCGGCTTTAGCCCTGCCATGTAGATGTGCCCTAAGACAAACCTCAGCATGATAAAAACATTTCTTTATTTTTGACGACCCTCAAAAACTATATTAATATTTTCTGTTCTCCCATGTAAAATCAAGTATAACAGGACTACCAAAGGAGAATGATGGTTGTGAAACACTATACATACTTATCTGAAGCAAGCCTTGAAATGCAGTAAAAATATAGGTACCTACAGGGAATCTCACTGTGTTATATGTTGACACCTGACCAGTTTAACACCAGAGATAAATCTTTAAGAATATGTGGAGCTAACTTTGGGTAAAAAAGTTATTAACTTCTTAATTCTTGCAGTATCATGAACAGAATTTTTGGTAATTGCTACATATAATGTAGCGATGCTCAAACTCATTTTACTTTTTTCCAAATTACACAAACATATACCAAAATAACATATCTCCAAAAAGTTCTATATACTTTTGCGAGTATTGTGAAACACGTGACATACAAGTAACCATGAATACCTAATACTATGCAAATCTAAGGAGGAATGTCTCTCACTTTGTAAAAATACACCATAAGTTCGTTACTGACCGCTAAAAAGAAATTACCACTTGTTTTCCTAGCTAGAAGAAATAATCATGCTCATCGGAGCTTTTCCAAATTCTCTTTTTGATTATAACAAATCATTCTCAGATCAATACACAATAGATCAACAAAAATTAGTTTACTTAAAGTAGTCTTCGTAAGTACAATCCAGTTCCACATTTGGATAATTGCATACAAAAGGGGGATGCTTAATAAAGATGGACTCTGTTAGTTTCTCTGTATTTTGATATTGCACACCTTCTGAATTCTTGTGATATTCAATGCTTTTTACAATTAAAGAAAGTTAAATATTAAATGTTTTGCCACTGTGAACATGTGTACACCTATGCACAATACATCACGCAAGAACCTTATTCTCCCTAATTTCACAATGTTGATTCTAACTACTCTGTGTGTAAATCCAGCTCAGAAGTGACACCTTGTGGTGAGATACTTCAGTTAAAAACTAAATGAACAGGTCTGAACTGCCTCCAGTTTTCCCAGATCACAGAGATTGATAGCTATTTTAATGTGATGCTTTCAGCAGTCCCCAGAGGTCATGATAAATACTGAGGTCACACTGTGCTGGACTTTATGCAAGGAAGAGTAGACTGAAGACAAAACTACACAGTTCCACTCTTTGGACTAACAGGGCATAAGAAGTTGCACATAACGAAGTGCTGCACTGATCAATCCCCTGTGTGGATGCTGCATGCACAAATTAACAGATTCTAATTCACAATGAAGTAAAATGAAGGAGACTATATCAGTGCAAACTCAGGAGCTTTGATGTTTACACTCACAGAGAGGAGTTGTAAAGCAGTATTTAGATGGGTATTGCCATTCATGCCCTTACTCCAAACTGCAAGCCATCATAGACATGCCATACTGTAACCTGAAGTTTTAAATTTTTAAATATTGTTTTGATTAGTCACTGAAGCAGATCCAACTAAAAGCCTGAAACACAATGGATTTGAACAGATAACTGAGAACATAAGCCCTGCCGTGGAAGTCCAGTTGAGCCTGGAATGCCAGTGGGGTCCGGTGGGGCAGCAGTCTGCCAGCTCTGGCAGCAGGGCAGCAGTCAGCTACGGTGGGCTGGGAGGCAGCACCGAGGTTGTGGGTTCCCGCAACAGGTATGGTGAGGACAGAAGCCACCGGTCAGTCGTGGCAGAGCTGGTGGGGCTGGGAGCCCAGCATGGCAGTGGGGTAGTGGTAGAGGAGGAGCCTGTGGGGAGGCTGGCAGCTGCCAGCAGCCGGGCCGGGGGCCCAGAAATGACCAGCAAAATCCCTTGTAAGGTGCCAAGAGTGCCAGACCTGGCAGGTCCAACCTGTATTACCTCTACAGTCTTTTTAAAAAGCACAGCTAGAAATGGAATATGAAATTCCTTGACATTTCCATGATCATTTTACCTCTTGTATCTTAAAAAAGCAATAGAGTTTACAGATGAGGTTGTTTTTTTCTTAAGCACTTTTAAATTTAAGTATTTAAACAAAAGAGTTTTGTTTATTATGACTGATGTGGAAAAAGTGAATAAGGGAATGTATTTATTTACTTATTCCCACAATATAAGAACTAGAGGTCACCAAATGAAATTAATAGGCAGCAGGTTTAAATCAAACAAAGGGAAGTTTTTCTTCACTCAGTGCACAGTCAACCTGCAGAACTCCTTGCCAGATGGTGTGGTGAAAACTAGGACTTCAACAGAGTTCAAAAAAGAGCTAGATAGATTCTTGGAGATTAGATTCATCAATGGCTATTAGCCAAGATGGGTAGAACGGATAGGAATGGGGTCCCTAGCCTCAGTTTTGTCTGTAAATGGGTGACAGGAGAGGGATTACGTGAGGATTACCTGTTGTGTTCCCTCCCTCTGGGGCATCTGGTATTGGCCACTGTCAGCAAACAGAATACTGGGCTAGATCAACTAAATTTTCCAGTCCTGTCTTAAGATGAACTCAAAACACACCCTTCCCACAAAACACCTCAGTATAGTTCTGTTTTATTATTTTTAAATTCATGAATTTATTTTTTAAAGAAGGCCACCTCCATTAAGCAACCCATATCTGTTAAGTCCTTTAATAGTGTAGTCAATCAACTGATAAGCAAAAGCTTACAGGCTAATGCTATAGACTACATGCATTCCCACCCCACTCTCCCAGTAAAATTTTTAGCAGGCTAGCCAGCAGGCCAGCTCAGTCCTGGCTTGCGACAAGTCCAGGACCTACCCCTACCGTGGCTCTGCATTCAAAGTGTATTAGGAGACAGGCAAGCAGGCAACCCAGCTCGGTTTTGGCTTGCACCGGGTCTGGGCGCTCAGACCTCCCTCTCACAGGACAGGGGCTACTGCCACCCCACACTGCTGTGTCTGTATGAGGAAGCAGCATAGGACAACAGGCAGCCGGTCCACGAGGACAACTGGCACCCCACACAACAGAGGCAGCGGCGTAGAGTGGCAGGGGACTCCTTGGTAGTGGGGACGGATCATGCTGGCTACCAACTGTGTCCCTGGGGACTATAGAATAGTCGAATAACTGATAAGAATTCATGAAGTTACTCGACTATTCAATTAAGTGACATTTAACACCTAACCTGTCCAATTAGGCCATCAAGTATAAAGATTTAAACTGTTGTATTTGCTAATCAAAGACCTGCCCAAGCCCATGAAATGGACAAGAAAAGCATGTGTAACCAAAGTAGGAGTGTGCTATTTCCTAATTTCTTCCTCAAAAATTTATCATCGGTATCGCTGTAATTTTGCTTGACCTTTGAACTAATCCAATCCAATAAAGATTTCTTAGTATTTTTATCGTGATAAGCTACAAGTCCAGATTTGAACTTCACTAAGATCGATGACATCTAACTACTAACCCATCTCCATATGGTCAAGTGCACTTCTGCCCCCTCCCAGTTGGTTTTGTTGGAACTGAAAGTTTTATTCTTCTTATATTTGTATTTTAAGTTTAGTAATATAGTAATGTAGCAATAATATAGCAATATAAGGTGTATGTTAATACACATTTAATATTTCATTAAATTAAGTCCTTTTAGTTAAATGTTTATTTCTTTGTTCTAAAGTTTTGCGAGTTTAGTAAATGGGCCTAAGTAAAAAGATAGCTTTGATATTGTGTTAATGAGATTAAAAGGATGTTGAAGACTGAGGCCTTAATTGCCTGATTTACAGCGCCTCTTTGTCTTGCCAATGCAGATGTTGATGTTGTGCTGTATAACCTTGAGAGCCCTTGTAACATTGCTTATATGTGTGAGAAGGGAATGAATGTGTCGAGATAAGGTGCAAAAGTTATTGCTCAGAACCAGATGGCCAAAGAGGGAGGTTGAGTGTGGGCAAAGACCAGACTACAGACAACCCGGCGTCAAAAATGCGTACCCGTAATAAGGAGTGATTGGCAGAGTGGCAGATTGACGAGCCTTGAAGTAAAGCTGGTACCCCCAAAAGACGACTGATTACAGGATGAGCCTTTAAGAGATGATTGGGAACAACTGACATCAACAAGATAACATTCCGGTCACAGGCTGACAGAGCGGAATCCATTGATTTCAACAGAGAAAAGGATTATAAAAGCAGGGTGCTTTGCTATGGAACTTTGGGTTCGTCTTGCCACCAACTCCAGAAGAGCATTGGATCGATCAACCAACAAAGGCCCTGCTCCCCCTCTTTGTTCAATCTAGCTGGCCACTAGACTGATACAGAATCTGTACTGGTAACTATAACATTTTCTGGCGGGATAGTGTGTGCGCAAGGTGTTTGTGTGTGAGTGATTGAAAAGCATATTCAACTGTTGTATTTTCAATAAAGGCAGCGTACTGCCTTTTCCCCTATAAAAGATCTTGTGTGCTTTGTTTAACCAGATACAGTTTTCTTCTCAGTTCAGCAATGTCCTACCAAAAGCTCATTAAAACAGAACACAAATACTAGTTCTGAAAATCCGTTATTGACTTACCTAAAGAAGAATGCTTCCATCAAAAATTGGCCCACTCACTAGGACATTATATCTGTTCTTATTTTAATAAAGGTAACTCATAAGGCATGGTGAGGAACACCATGTGACTAAAGTAGTGTAAACCACATCCCTAAAATGGTTCTACACTCTCAGAGCTCTGTAGACAAACTTTTAGTAACTTTAAAACTAATTGGCCCTAAAAATTTGGCAGCCCTTTGTACCCCACAACTATAAAAAGATAATTTTGCTTTTTTGAAATCATGTGACAAGCTACTTAGTTTGACTCTTATGTCTGCAATTTAAGTAAAAACCTCACCTCATTAGGAGACAGCAAATAAACAGGAGTTAGTGAAGGAACTTCACTTAATTCACAACTCAGGCCAAGCAATGTCAGGATCTCCTTAAGAACTTCATATCTCTTGACATTGTTCATTTTGAGTAAATTAAAGTCTTCTTGGGTTTGTGTAGTTGAAGAAATATCCATCTCCAGGTATATCTGGGAAGGTAAAAAAAAATAAAGAGAAAGAAGTCACTAATATGAAAGACAGCAGCTGACATAGATAAAAGCAAAACAGCCCTAAAAATGGTTTTTTGTCTATTAATTTACTACAAGCTGAATTGAGTATAAGAGCCATGTAAAATTCAGTGTGACTTGTGTGTTAGAAGTAAGGGTATATTTTATATGACGACAAATATGACATATTAATGGAGTAGAGTTTTGACATCTTAAATGACTGTTAGACATAAATCCACGGTGTAGCAAATAGAGGTTGAACATCTCTGGTTCAAGATGTTGCTGGACCAGAGAGCCCCAAGACCAGAAAACCCCAGCAGCTGTAGACTGCGAATCTGGTGGCCAGCAGCCATTGGGGAGAGGTGGGGGGATAGGAGCACAGCCCAACCAGTGTCTCGGGGTTAGCAGCCAGGAGGGGAGCAGGTAAGGGCTCCCCAGAAAGCCCTAGCCTTCCCTGGTCCGGCAAACTCCCTTGTTTGGGACCAGTCCAGTTCCAAGGTTGCACTACCTGTACTAGTACAGATTAATGAATCCTTAACTTCCAAGGAGACAACTAAAGCTATAGGTAAATTATCGTTCTTCTCTGAAAAGCATGTAAAATGCCCCTCTCTGAATTAAGGATGTTAAATTTAGATTAATCAGCTAATCAAATAGTCAATGTAATTTGCATGTACTATTCAATTAGTGCAGCGGTCACCAACCTGTATATCGGGATCTACTGGTAGATCTTGGAGCCTCTGACAGGTGATCCTGACTGGTTTGGCCAATAGGATATCAAGCGCAGCACTTCAGCTGCTCCTCCCTCCAATGCTGCTCATCTCCTGCCCTTTGCCTTGGAGCTGCCCCTTCCCCTGGGAGCCTCCTGCTTTCTGTGCAGGGCAGGGGAGGGAGAGGAGAGAGTGCTGATGTCAGGGTGCTCCCTCTCCCACCCTGTATCCTATCTCCACAGAGCAGAGAGAGGGCACAACAGGACTTGGGAGGGAGATTGCTGGCTGCTTCAGAGAGTGGGCCAAGGCAGGGTTTAGCCTGCCTTAACCCCACTGCATCACCAACCCTCCTGGGCCCCACATCCAAACTCCTACCCTAGTCATGAACCCCCTCCTGCATCCCAAGTCCTTGTCCTAGCCCCAACTACTCTGCATCCAAATACTATTCCAAAGCTTGCACCTAGAACCCCCTCCTACATCCCAACTGCCTGCCCCAAGAGCAGCTCAGAGTCCCTTACACTCCAGATCCCTTAATCCAAGACCAGAGCCTGCACCTCATCCCGCTGCCCCTGATGAAAGTGAGTGAGGATGGGCAAAAGAGGGAGAATGGAGTGAACAGGGGCAGGGCTTTGGAGGAGGGATGGGAAGGAGGTGGGGCAAGGGTATTTACATTTGAAGTAGATCTTGAATTGCAGTTAAACTCAAAGATATCTCATGCTCAAAAAGATTGGAGACCCCTGAATTAGCAGATAAAGGAGCCTTCACTTTTGAAATATAGCAAGAGCCTTGCCAGTTCCTGCTACATTTCCGAGGCAAAAGTGCCGCGGGGAGCACGACCAGCAGGGGACTCAAGCAATCCCCCACTCGCCCCCACGCTCCCTGATTTTGAAATATACAAGAGCCCCAGAAGGGCTGTTTGAGTCCCTAGCTTGCACCAGGCACCTCGCAATGCTTCTGCTTTTGAGAGGTGGAAGTACCACCGGTTCCCCACTGCGGCCCTGACGCTTCTCCCCACAGAAACTGTACTGGGGGAGAACTGACTTTAAGTCACTAGTCAACTCAACTATCCGATAAGCATTTGCTCATCGGATAGTCGACTAGTCACTTACAACCTACTCTTAATCAGCTGGTCTGACTCCTGCACTTATTTGGAGTCCATATCCACTTAGTGACTAAAAGTTTTTGCTACTTTTTACTACTATTATCACTACATAAATGAGGCTGCTCTGGATTCTAGTCTGGCTCATGAACCAGGGAAATTCAGTTCTGATTGCAGAATATTTATTGGCAGTGAGGAACAAGGCAGAAAGAACCTAGGCTGAGTCATGCAGTTAAATCACAGGATTGAGCATAACAAAAATCTTTTTATTTTTGAACTGTACTGGAACCCTACCAGAGAAACCTACAGTACTATTTTATAAAGATTCACTCTTCAAAGTAGAGGTGAACTATGGAGGCTTGTCTCCACAATCTGCAAACAGCAAACCAAGCTGTAAATATACAGCACTGTCCCCTGTTGTTCACTAACTAGTCATGTGGACCCTGGTACCACATGCTAATAGTTGTTCTGTTGTTGTACTTTGAAATATTACTAAATAGTATTTCTGAAGAGCCAATAAATGAAAGCTAGCCATGACACTTTTAGGATCCACATAGAGATTTAGTATGTAAGCAAACTAGAGTGCTGTACATTCACATACTGCTTTCCTGCACATTAAGTCAACAAGCCATCAGGAGCACAGCTGAAATACAGAGTCCAGACTGGTCCACCTATACATTATACACTGTATCTCACGTAAGTTCCAAGAAGTTTAATACATGTATATTGTTCTGCTACATTTGTTTTATTCCACTATGTGCAAATACATTTAAATGCTAGTGGCATAGCAATTACTTGTACTGTACTTTAATACATTTTTGCACATTTTATTTTTGCTATAATATGCATTATCTACTCTTCTATAATTCAGCCACACAAATTTATTGAATTCAAGAGGGAATGTTATGTAATTGGTCTAGTGCAGAAGATGAAATAACTACCCTGTGACTTGGAATATTCACTGGCTGATGACACTACAAATACTCTTATAAATATAGCCCTGGAAAGAACAACAATACACCTTTTCCAGATGCAGACTGGAACTAATGTAAAAATCATAACTGTTATTCTAATCCTTTTAATCTGATTTCTGAAATTTCTCCACCTTGCCCTTTTTCTCAGGAAACCCACTGCAGTATTAAATTTTATTAGAGGAGAAGGTCAATTTAAATACTACAGAAAAGGAGGTTTTACCATGCAACTTGAAAGAAATTAATAGCAGCAGTGCCTAATCAATTTTCTAGTTCAAGTACTCACACATGGGTGGCAGAAGCTGTTATACAAAACTATAACAAAACCAAGTTTTCCCACGATGCTATAGTCTTTTGGCAGTGACACTCAAGAGTAACACTGGCAAATCGGTGTGGCTTTGAAGAGGAACATGATCACTGCATACCTAAGATACTCCAGAACTTCCCCCAAAATTTGTTTTTCCATACATTTAGGTGAGAAAACTACAAAAAAGGCATATGGGAAGGTGACAGATTAAATTGCTAACGGCAAATCTGACAGCTAGTATAAGCAAGGAATGGGGGGGATTTGCCTTGAGCTCAGTGAGTATGAAAGGAATTTCATCTGTACATTCTGTGGATGAGGGAAAAGCACCTTGGAGAAATCCTGATGACATTTTCTGAACTAAGTAACTGCAAGATGAAGATGATTATCTGAAGAATAAACACTGATACGTAAGTCCAGAAACCTCACCCCACCCCTCAATTTATCCTACAATTAAAATTACGGTAAAGATTGCCTATTTCTAAAGTTTATATTCTTGTGTTTGTTTTATTTGGTTCTCTGTACCAGAATTCAGTAAGATGAGCCCAGTAAACAATATTTGTATCTCTCTCCTATTTCACTACAAAAGGCAAAATGCTATTTTTCCTACTTTAATGACTTGAATCCCATAATTGAAGAATCCTCTGTACACAACTTCAAAGTAGGTAGAAAAACTGTGCCTCAGCTCTTTGCCTAGCCTACTGAATTTGAGACAGGTAGTCTTTATGAGTACTGCAGAGAAGCAACAAAAATGAACTTATAATGGAAGTCAGTTGAAACCCCGGGAAACACCAAAATAAGTACAGTATACTATGACAATAAGGCACTTAGCTCTTCTTACATACAGTACCTGACACAGAATAGCTTCTCCTCCGCAGTCTCCATATGGCAGTTGAACAATGATCATATCTTCATCTGTATTATTTAAGTGACTCAATGACTTCACTGTTCTGAAGTTTCCTTTAACGTCTTCCTCAAAAACATTGCCACTCGTCAGAAAGTTTAATTTAATTTCACTGTTGTCTGCTTTATAGAATACTAATTCTTGGATGGTCTTCTTCAGTTCACTTTTGCTCCTTATCTGTATAGTGCCAAATGTGAACAAGGCAGAAAGTCCTAAAATCTTCCCACCTTTTGACAAGTAGGTCAGGAACTGTTTGTGATTCTCCTCAGAAATCGGTTCCTCTGTGGCAATAACCAACAACAGCGAGTTATCAAGCCAGGGAGCTTTCAGAACCTGTTCCTCAACCAGCTGGTAGATGGTGTAGCTATTTGTATCAATACACTCCTTGATAACTGATTTTATCTTTTCAAATTTGATTTTCATAGGGTCAGAACCTACATAAATTAAAACATTGGGAGGCTTCCCAGTGAGGTTTACCCTTTTTAGTTCTCTTGCCAGACCACCATCAATAACCTCATCCACACTGGCACTGCAATCATCTGGAAGGTCTGGAATATTTTCCGATGAAGCAAATCGGACTGATTCAATAGTGCTGTTTTCAAGTTCAAAACATTCATGGCAACTGGAAAGATGCAAGTGGTGATGTTTCCCCATACTTGTTTCTCTTTCAGATAGGCTATCAAGCTCATCATGAGGCTCACTTCTTTTCTCTGACCTGGATTTCTCTCTCTCTTCTCTCAACTCTTGGTCACCTCCTCCTGTAGAATCAATTGATACTGATCCTTGTTTAGTTATAGCCTCAAATGGAAGAGCAGGGATCAATTCACCTATTTGCGCGCAGTCAGTGTTCTTCTTTTCTTCAGTAGATGCAGCCACCTGCTCTAGAGCCTTTAGAGCAGATTCCTGTAAATGGACAGCTGAGAGATTTCAAATGAAAAGTTAAGCTATATAAAAACAGTAATATTTTATGTCACTACTCCTAATACACAGATTGGCATTAGATTTAAACTCCTGATACATCATTTACATCAGTCACTCTTAACCAAGGGCACAACCTCTGGTTGTACATAGAGATCTTCCAAACAGTACATCAACTCATCTAGATATCAGTCTAGTTTTACAACAGTCTATGTAAAAAGCACTATCAAAGTATGTACAAACTAAAATTGCATATGACATGCTTATACTGCACTATATACTATACAGAAGTACAAAATTTATATTCCAATTCATTTGTTTTATATGGTAAAAACGAGAAAGTAAGCAATTTTCTAGCTACTAGAGCGTGCTACTAATTTCACAGCTGTGAAAGGCACAGCACAGATTGTGAAATAAGCCCTTCCCTGTGACATCTGATGTCTCCTGATTCCTAGGAGTGCACCATCAAAGGGGGCTTCCTAGCTCCAACTGGGTAGGGGATGGACACAACCTGTTCTTCCATTGCAAAATGCTCTGGTGATGTGGGAGGGAGGGGACCAGACCAGGCCCACCTCCAAGTGCCACCCTGTGCTGCAGGACATTGTTTTGGACTTGGCAGCAGCCTAAGGTTCCTGCAGCTGGCGGAGACTTGTGGAATTGAATGTTATCTTCCCTGTGCTGCTAGAAGCACATCATCAAAGAGGGATCCTTAGCTGTGACTGGGCAGGGGAAGGAGAGAGACAAGTATGGGGGAACGGATGCAGAGCTTTCTGAACAACTGCAATGTGCAAATATTTTCCCTCCTAAGATGGCCAGGACTAGCAGCTAGGTGCTCCCAGCAGCACAGTAGATTAGGGATGTTAAATTTAGGTTATTTTAGTAATTGAGTAGTCAATAGAATTTTTATCATCTACTATATTACTTAATGGGGCAGGCAGCCCCACTTATTCCTGGCTCGTGCCAGGTTGGGCACCAAACCCCACTGTGGCTCTTCAATTTAAAATGCAAAGTCAGTAGGAGCCAGAGGAGAGGGGGGCAGACTGCCCAGCTCCTACTGACTTTGAAATTGCAGAGCCACATCAGGATTTGCTCCCAGTACATGGTGAGACTGAGCAAGGCTGCCTGCCTAGCCAGGAGCAGCCCCTGGGATTCCCACAGACAGGGGCTGCTGCCCACAAAGCAGCCCCTGGCCATGACACATGGCCACGAACAGAGGCTTCTTCGGGGGCAATAGCCCCTGTCCACAGGGAGTCCTACCTTCCTCCTGGGACCCCCCATGGCCAGGGACTGCTGCCAAAGCAGCCTCTCCAGCCCTGTCCTCTCCCACCCCCCGCCTCTGATAGAGAACAGACAGTGCTGAGGGAACCAGTTTAAACAGGATCCCCTCATGCTTGCCCCCATTTGCTGATATAGAGGCAGCAAGGGGAAGGGGGAAGAATGTGAGTAGCTGACTCAACTACACCGTAAGCTTAAGCTTATTGGGTGGTCAACTAATCGACTACTCTCTTATATCCCTAGTAGAGATCAGACCCACCTCTACCTCTTGGAACCTCCTGTGGCTATAGGAAGCTCTGCCATTGCTGCCTTCAAAGTCTAGCTCTGAAGGCAGCAGTCCCCTGACCACCTTAAGACAGGTTTGTGACCCTCCCTCCCCCATCTCCTTTTGGATTGGGATCCCACAGTTAAAACCTGAAATTTCAGTTTTGTAACAGCTGAAACCATGAAATTTACCCATTTTCAAATCCTATGGTCATGAAATTGGTGAATTTCAACACATTCTATAGAAGAAGGAGACCAGAAGGTGAGAGACAAAGAGAAATCCAGGCCATAGAAAAGAAGTGAGCCTCATGATGAGTCTGACAGTCTATCTGAAAGGGAGATAGGTACTGAAATCACCACCACCTGCACCTTCCCATGATTGTGAATTTGGTAGGGCCCTAGCTATGACACTTCTGTATTTTGATGTCTGATGTTGTAACCAAGCAGTGAAACTTGGAAGCATTCATGAAAATCAAACTCCTGAAAGGTTTACAGTGGTGCAGAAATGTTGACATTTTACACTACTAAAAAAGTTTGCTCCTTCTAGACACTACGATTTACCTCTCCTCAAACAAAGTGTCTACATTTAATTTTGTAAATCCCTAGATCATATCTGGCAGTTAGATACCACTAAAGGTTCTTAAGCGAGGTAGGCAGGAATGGACCCCTAAGTGGTATGACAGACTGCTGGCTAAGTCAGAGCTCTGCCACTGCAGTCTGGATGAAAAGACCAATTGCAGATGGCTGAAAAAGCCCAGGCCTGAAAGGCTATTGGAAGCAGCTGTGGACCGAATTAGCCAGAGGGCTGTAAAAGGCAACCAGAGGGGAAGTAAAGGGGGAGGAGCAAGGAGCCAGGGTATGTCTGAGTGTGCTTCCCCAGGCAGAAGGAGAAGCTGGCTGAGTTTGCTGTAACCCAAAGCTCTGTAAATGGGGGAGGAGGGGAAGAGGGCTGAGAATAAAAGGCACAGGTGAGCACACCGGAAAGAGTCTCTGGCTGATCTGTGGACCAGAATGTGTCCCAGAACCAGAAGGTGTCCCAGGACAAGGGGCTTGAGGGGGGACCTTGCCATAGTGGTTAAAATATAGGAAACAAAAGGTAGGAATTAACGGTAAGTTTTCACAGTGGAGAGAAGTAAACAGTGTATCCAAGGTTCAACACTGGGAACAATGCTCTTCAACGTATTTATAAATGATCTGCAAGAGGGGCTAAAAAACAGGCAACAAAGTTTGCAGAAAATACAAAGTAACTCAAAATAGTTAAATCCAAACCTGACTGGAAAGAGATCAAAAGGGACCTGAGACACACCAGGGTACAATCCAGACAAATGAGCAGCTGTACCACCTCTGCCCTGTAACCTATGGTGCCCTTTCCTTTGCCTTGCTGCCAATTGCATCATTTAAAAGGGAATGGGGGGCAACAGCATGCCCCTGAAGTTTGAACCCCTGGATTTTATACTTGAGGTCTGCTTAAAGTTGCATGCCCTGGCTCCAAAGGAAGTTCTTAAGTGCAACAGAGTTTGAACTGTTTGCATCTTTGCCTTTGCAACAAGTTTTTTATAACAAGGGGGAGGCAGGGTGATTAAGAACAACAGAAGACTCGTCATTCACGCAACTGAAGGATCATTAGATCATCTTGAAAATAATGCTCAGCACTCCACTTAAAAGATAAAGGGGAAAAAAAGCAGAAATGACTGTTGTGATGCTGGGATTTGCACTGGACCAGTACTGTTAAACTTATACATTTCTTCAGGGGGTAGCGGAGTTAGTCTGTACAGGATAAACTTAAACAACAAATCACCTGGTAAAACTTTATAGACTAACAAAACATGTAGATGGTATTATTTATAAAATAACGTTCTTGAAAAGGTTACAAAACAGCAAGGTTACAAAATTTCTCAAAATAGTTAAGTCCAAAGCTGACTGCAAAGAGTTACAAAGGGATCTCACAAAACTGAGTGACTGGGCAACACAAAGGCAGATGGAATTCAGTGCTGAGAAACGCCAACTAAGGTACATAGAAAAATATAACCCCAACAATACATACAAAAATGATGGTCTAAAATAGCTGTTACCACTCAAGAAAGAGATCTTGGAATCATTGTGGATAGTGCTTAGAAAACATCTGCTCAATGTGCAGTGGCAGCCTAAAAATGAAGAAACTAACAGAACTTGGGAAACATCAGGAAAGGAGTAGATAAGACATAAAATATCATATTGCCTTTATATAAAGTCATTGTATGCTCACATCTTGAATACTATATGCAGATATGGTCACCCCTTCTAAAAAAGATACACTGGATTTGGAAAAGGTACAGAAAGAGCAACAGACACGATTGCCTTAAGGAACAGCTTCCATATGAGGAGAAATTAACAAGACTTGGACTTTCCAGTTTGGAAAAGAAATAACTGAAGGGTACATAATAACGGCTATACTGAGTCAGACCAAAGGTCCATCTAGCCCAGTATCCTGTCTGCCGACAGTGGCCAATAACAGATGCCCCACAGGGAGGAAATACAACACAATCTTCACATGATCCCTCTCCTGTCACCTAGACAAACTGATGCTAGGGACACCATTCCTACCCATCCTGGCTAATAGCCATTGAAAAAGCCAATAGCCTACCTAGCTCTTTTTTGAACCCTGTTAAAGTCCTAGCCTTCACCACATCCTCTAGCAAGGAGTTCCATAGGTTGACTGTGCACTGAATGAAGAAAAACTTCCTTTTGTTTGTTTTAAACCTCTGCCTATTAATTTCATTTGGTGACCCCTAGTCCTTATACTGTGGGAATAAGCAAATAAACTTTTCCTTATTCACTTTTTCCAGACATTATGATCTAATGGACCTCTATCACATTCCCCCTTAGTCTCCTCTTTTCTAAGCTGAAAAATCCAAGTCTTTTTAATCTCTCTTCATATGGGACCCATTCCAAACCCCTAATCATTTTTGTTGCCCTTTTCTGAACAGCATTCCCTCATGTAAGTATTCTCAGCTACATCCGTGTGTGCTACAGCCAGCCAGCCACACCTTGGCACCTACTAACCTTCAAGTTTAGTATCAGATGACCACAACATTGGTCTCAGATTTCCCCTCAGAAATATATGTCCTCTGTCACCAGCCCTTTCCTGGACATTGCAAATGTACTGACTCCATTATTCCTTCAAGGGAATAATATGCACTTAACTTGCTACCTCATATGGAGTTACCCTAACACTGTAACTTGAACAAACTGTTATCATGTAATAGGTCTGCCTGCTGGTGAGCGCTCTGCTGCAGACAAGGGGTGCTGTGCAGGATCCTTGCCAGGTTGTCCGGTTGCCCTCAAAGTCCTGGAACCAGGGCCTGACTAGCCCTGTTCACGGTACTAGTAAGTCTCTGCTTGTGGCTAGTCTTTGGCCACTGGGTCTGGGTTTTACCCAAATCTAGGCTCAGCTCACACTAAGAGCTAGCCGCAGTGCTGATCTCCCAGTCAGGGTACAGACCTGGCTGGGTGGAGCTCCTAAAGGGAACTGGTTAGGCCCCAACCCTGCAGCTTCTTTTATACCCTTCTGCTGGGTCCTGATTGGCTGCCACAGAGACAGCCACTCTAATAGCGTCTGGAGGACCTCTGCTCTGCTCCTCCAGCTGGGATGGGTGGCGGCAAGGCCTCTAGCCTCCTGTCGGAGGCGTTGGGGCCTAGTCCAGACCATCACACATCATTACACAGAGCAATCTTATTAACTTCACATGTTGCCACACATTTTACCAGACCAAATATTACCAGAAAATTATGAATTTTCAAATGATACTTTAAAGGCACACTTTGTACAAAGATTATTACTATGGTGTGTAAGGTGTGAATACAACAGTGCATTTGTCACAGGATCGCACAGAACTGTATGACTAGGAAAAATGGCATATGAAATTCAATGTTGATTAATGCAAACGAATGCATGGGGAAAACACAATGCCAACTACATAAACAAAATGATAGGGGTCTCTTTTAGCTGTTGCCACTTAATGATCTTATTTCAGAGAACTCCTCACATCTGCTTAACGTGCAAGTGGCAGCCAAAACAAATGGGAAAATGAATTGGATAAGTTCACAGAAGATAGGTCCATCAATTATTACCACCCAGGATGGTCAGGAACACAACTGCATACTTGGAGTGACCCTAAACCAGTATGACCATTCTTATGCTCCACAATCTGAAGTCAAATATTCTATTTCCAGCTCTGCCAATTATTTATTTGACTTTTAATAAGCCATACAGGACAAATTTTTACAAGAATCCAGCTAGCTTGAAGAATCTTAAGATTTTGGGCACTTAATATGGAACACTTAAGATGTGTTTTTTCAGAGAAAATGAACCATCAGAACTTCCATAGAAGTCACTGTCAACTGCAGGTGCTCAGGATTTTAATTCTGTATTGTAATGTGAAGGTTTCAGTAAGCTAGCTAGTTTTTGAACTCCTTTTCCTGACAGAACAAGGGTTCACTGGTTGAAAACTGCTGTAGCATGGTATCCCTTCTGCTACTCCTGTGTGGGTATCCCAGATGCATTCTCTTTTCAACTGCTATACCACCATTGGGGAAGGTGAAAAGTGAAACAAGAAGCCCTGAAAAAATGATTCCCTAAGAAAAAAAGGGGACAGGAATGATGCTCACTGCTGTTCAAAACTGAACTACAAAAATCTAGGATTATACTGGATAAGATGGAATCACTTTGGGTGTGTCTAGACTACATGCCTCCTTCGACGGAGGCATGTAGATGAGCCAGATTGGAAGAGGGAAATGAAGCCGCGATTAAAATAAACGCGGCTTCATTTAAATTTAAAGGGCTGCCCCGATCTGCCGACAAACAGCTGATCGGCAGATCGGGGCAGCCCTTTTAATTTAAATGAAGCCGCGATTAAAATAAACGCGGCTTCATTTAAATTTAAAGGGCTGCCCCGATCTGCCGACAAACAGCTGATCGGCAGATCGGGGCAGCCCTTTTAATTTAAATGAAGCCGCGATTAAAATAAACGCGGCTTCATTTAAATTTAAAGGGCTGCCCCGATCTGCCGACAAACAGCTGATCGGCAGATCGGGGCAGCCCTTTTAATTTAAATGAAGCCGCGATTAAAATAATCGCGGCTTCATTTCCCTCTTCCAATCTGGCTCATCTACATGCCTCCGTCGAAGGAGGCATGTAGTCTAGACACACCCTTAGTGCTGAACAAGAAAGAAAATAGGACACAAATAAAGAAGGGGATGGAAAAATCTCAACTGTCTTTGGTCCTCAGGCAGAGCAGCGTAGTTCAAATGTCTTAGACTGGAAAAGAGGTCAGGGGGCACAGAAAGCAGGAATAAAAAAGCATCAGAAGTTGGTTTTAAAACAAAATAAAACAAAAACCCCTATGAACAGCAGAAGTTGCAAAAGTAAATCCATTTCTGAGCAGACAAAATGGAAGGAAGAGGCAGAGGTGTTACCATAAAATATACAGGGCAACCAACAAAGGAAGAACAAGTACTATCTTTGTGGTGCTTCTATTAACCTTTATAGAGAGTTATACGGTAGCTCCTAAGATACTCTGGGATTTGTCTGCAAAAATTTAAATTTATAATAATGGGGACATTAAATATTGGTTAGTTTATGACGCAGTAATGACTAAAATATTTTAAAAAATTAAATACCATTTCAAATACATTCAACTACTTTTTCAGCCATCATTCTAACAGTGCATATTACAAATGTAAATTTAAAAAACTCAGAAACAGCAGTCTAACTACAGTTCAGATTTTTATAATTGGCATTAGCTTTTAAAACGAGACTGCCTCTGTTTAAAGTGGAACACTTATTCCTATGCCTGTATAAATAAGCACTGTATTCATTAGAAGACAGAGTAAGTGAAACACTGAAGTTACTTTGCTAAAACTGAAGTGCTCTGTAAAGATACTTACAAACAATCTTCTGCGGCACCATTCCATTATCCATTTGAAGTCTGTCTTCCATGAATGCTATTCCAAGGTTACTGAAGTTATCCACACTTGCTTCAGCAAATAATTTATAAGGTTCTCCGGGTTTATAAGCCAAAGCTGAACAATAGTCAGACCATTTTACAATCTGAGAATATAAAAAACAAAAGCATTTTCCTTTTCTAAAGAGGGAAGATTTCTCAATTGACATAACTCCATGGACAAGCATTACAGAACGAAGGTGGTATGTCTACACAGAGTTTATTGTCTAAAAGGAAACAGGCAGAACCAACACAGAAAGTATTAACTTAAATAATGAGATTAGTGCAATTCAAAAACGGGGAGACAAACATCAGTTCAAAAAGGGATGATCTTAAAAAAAATCTGAATCCCAAGGAAGATCACTGAACACATTTTCAAACCCAGTTTTCTTAAAATCATATGGTTTTAAAAAAATAACTACAAGCAGTCCCCGGGTTACATCGGTCCAACTTACATCGGACCCCTAGTTACGAACCGAGGGAGAGGGGGCCACTAGTGCGGGGTGCCTCCCCCACTGTCGTCGCCTCCGGCGGTGTGGGGGGCGCTTCCCCCCAGCAGACCAGGGAGACGCGGAGCGGCTTTTCTCGCCGTGGAGGACACGGGCGGCGGGACCGCGGCGCGTCTCAGCGGTCCCGCTGCCCGCATCCTCCGCGGCGAGAAAAGCCGCTCCGTGTCTCTCTGGTCTGCTGGGGGAAAGCAGCTAGTGCGGGGTTGCCTCATCCCATTTGTAAGTAGGGATCCGATGTAAGTCAGATCCATGTAACCCGGGGACTGCCAGTATAGACATAGAAACTAGCTTTCTATTATATTCTTGGGCTATCACCTTTTTTCTTCTGCAATATGATCAGGAATATAGTTTTAATACAGTGATCCAGTACTAGCTAAAATACATACTGATGGACAAGAAGAGCCTTAATATAAATTATAGTAATGCTATTTTAGTAGCTGATATCTCTGAGCACAGCCTCCTTAACTAGGAAAAGGTGAAGTACAGGGACCTTATTATGTGGATTTAATTTACCTGAGAAACATTTACATTCTACAGTAATGACACTTCAGAAAACTCTTAATAGTGCCAGCACCATGCCACCAGAGGATAAGTCTCTCTTCCCCAGTATATATAATTTCTTCTCTCTCCTCAGTACAATGAAGCCAACAGCCTTGCCAGGCCCCTAGGCAAGGCAAAGGGTGGCTCTGCCCCTACCGCCGCTGATCAGTTTCAGCAGCGGCTGACTTGGGAACACCTGGGGCAGAGCAGCTGGGGTGCTGCCGGGTTGGTCCGGTAGCGCCGAGGAGTGGCGCTGCGGGATCAACCCAGCAGCACCCCAGCTGCTCTGCCCCAGGCGTGTCCGATTCAGCCACTGCTGGTCAGTTTCAACAGCGGCTGAATCTGGACGCCAGTTCCGACTTACATACAGATTCAACTTAAGAACAAACCTACAGTCCCTATCTTGTACGTAACCCGGGGACTGCCTGTACTGCAAATTAACTTTACCCTGGACAGATAGAGTTCCCAATTCCAACCGTCATTTCTTCATATAGTGGCTAAGAATGCCTGTATGTAAGCTCAAGTACAGCCAAAACACCACCAAAACATTCTTATCAAAGAAGGACCACGTCTTGTATGAAGTACAGGCAGTCCCCGAGTTACGCGCATCCAACTTATGTCGGATCCGCAGTTATGAACGGGGATTTTCTCGCCCCGGAGGACTGGAGCGGCGGGACGCCTGGTCCCGCCGCCCGCCTCCTCCGGGGCAAGAAAAGCTGCTCCCCGTCTCCCTGGTCTGCTGGGGGGGTGCACTAGCTGCGTCCCCCCCCAGCAGACCAGGGAGACGTGGAGCAAAGCCCGGGGCCTGTGGTAGAGCAGGTGGGGCGCTGCCGGTTGGTCCAGTAGCGCCAACGAGCGGTGCTGCGGGACCAACCGGCAGCGCCCCACCTGCTCTACCACAGGCCCCGGGCTTTGCTCCACGTCTCCCTGGTCTGCTGGGGGGGTGCACTAGCTGCGTCCCCCCCCAGCAGACCAGGGAGACGTGGAGCAAAGCCCGGGGCCTGTGGTAGAGCAGGTGGGGCGCTGCCGGTTGGTCCAGTAGCGCCAACGAGCGGTGCTGCGGGACCAACCGGCAGCGCCCCACCTGCTCTACCACAGGCCCCGGGCTTTGCTCCACGTCTCCCTGGTCTGCTGGGGGGGTGCACTAGCTGCGTCCCCCCCCAGCAGACCAGGGAGACGTGGAGCAAAGCCCGGGGCCTGTGGTAGAGCAGGTGGGGCGCTGCCGGTTGGTCCCGCAGCACCGCTCGTTGGCGCTACTGGACCAACCCGGCAGCACCCCAGCTGCTCTGCCCCAGGCGTCCTGATTCAGCCGCTGCTGATCAGTTTCAGCAGCAGCTGAATCTGGATGCCAGTTCCGGCTTACATACAGATTCAACTTAAGAACACACCTACAGTCCCTATCTTGTACGTAACCCAGGGACTGCCTGTAGCAGCTGCTACATCACTTTCAGTCTTGAAAAAGGTAAACAAGAGCATTTCTGAAAAGTTTTGAGAGGAAAGGAAAATGGAACCAACAGTTTTCCCCCCAGACGTATCATAGCTTTGGAAATCCTGGGTAGCACACAAAGAAGGATTTCCTATATTAAACAGTACGGAAAGCATTGGAGTCTACAGCTGAATCTCCTCACTTGCCCCAACACTTAAAATACACCTCTAACAGACCTTTCAACCACAAAAATTACATCAAGAGTACAAGGGCAGGAAGCAAAAGTAAGTGACTTGGATTAGTTAGTGTGCCTTCTTACAAACGCCTGTCTAAAGCAGAACAATTTTAAGGTACAAAAGATGAAAGATCTATAGCAGTGTCAAGCTCATTTTATGCATAAGTTAAAAGCATTACCCACAAAAACATACTCAAGACAGTAAGAGACCGTGCATACATGGTAGTATGTTTACCAGAATTCATCCCAACCCTTACATGGCAGGAGCAGTCCTTCCAACACCCTACCCAATATGTTTTCTTACCACTTCAAAGAGCCATTAACCAGAAAATTATATTAGCATTCCCCACCCCCTAAAAAAATAACAAAAACCTCTAAAATGGCACATACACATTTGACTATTAACACAATGGACTCCAAAGGTATTTAATCTAATTCAATAAATATTATCTTAATTCCATACTTTTTTTTTTTTAATCACAGGATACTGTCAGTATTATGCTTCTAAGACTACTATTTTATCTTTTAACATCCTCTATTTCTAGGGGGAATCAAAGCACTTTATAAACATAACTAAGGAAAGTATGGAAGCTAAATTTGTCATCTTACAAGGGTGGAAGCCCAACTGGAATCTGGAGCCCAGTGGTGTGGTAGCTTGCCTTAAAATGCTGAGTAAGTGAAGGTGTGTGCTAGACCCTTGGGTTAAATGAAGCCCAGAAGCCAAAAATAATGATGATGGGAAGTGAAGTGAACCTACCTATTACCTGTGAGGAAGGAGGAGCTACCCAGAGAAGTGAAAAAAAGAGCAGGGTCTGAAAGGCCCAGACCACACCAGCAGGAAATAGTGCAGAAACTTCTGGAAATCTGTGCTGCTCTCAGCAAATAAGCAGACACTTCCTTAATGTCATAATGCTGCATAGTCTTGGAGAGTCTGGAAATATGGAATGGCTAAAGTAGTGAATCCTGTAGGTTTAATCTACTGGAGGAGATGAAAACAGTGAAGATAAGAATTTTAGTAAGGGGTTTTCCCTCCCTGGAATCTCTAAAGGTAGTAATCTATATATTTTAGTAATGTGGATCTGTCAGTCTGAGAGTCCATTTGTACAAGAGCTCCTAAACTATAAGAACTAGGACCACCAAATTCGGTATGCAGCTTTCTCTTAGCCCAACTTAAAGCAAGGCCAGAGTCTGGGTGTGCCACGACAATGGGACATTCCTGAAATTTGACTGTTTCTCATAAAATGAAAAGGGAGGTGTCTGGAAGGATGGAGTTATAGTGTGTAATGAACACATGGGGGCAGCAATTGGCTGGCAGCAGCCAACACCCCAGCCTGCCTCAGGACAGAGGCGTAGTGAGATTATTATGCGTCCAGAAAATTGGCCCCCTCCCCCCCCCCCCCGCCAAATGGTGGGGCCCAAACCTGGTGCACAGCTGAGCCCGACCCCGGGAGGAGTGGGGGGAGCTTGTACCACGTCTTACCTGACCCCCTCCAGTTTGGGGCTGGGTCCCGCATGCACTAACCCTCTGGCAGAGGTGGAGGGGGTCAGGCTGAGGGCAGAGAGGCAGGGAGGAGGTAGCTCCAACCGGTGGCAGCGGGCAGAGGAGGAGAAGATGAGCAGAAAGATCACGGGAGAGTATGGGGGACTATACTGGCATCTCCCTAGTGTGGCACCTAGGGGCCACTTTCCCTCCCCCCTCTCCCGGCACCCTCCTCACTACACCACTGTAAATAATCCACCTCTTCGTATATTTATTGTTTAATGAATTACTTATTTTACTAACTACAGACATATACATTATAAAGTTTTGGGGTTTACATTCTCAATTTTTTTCCTCTTTAATTTGTTCATATCCCATTCTCATTAGGTTCATGTCTTTTACATAAAAAAATGTCAAATTCTTAAATATGTAAGTTTTATAAAACACGAGATAAATTAATGTTATACAACCTAAATATGAATTTCATCACTATATTTCATTCAAGCATTTAAAACCACTGTTATAGCAAGTGAGTAACATTGCTTTAATGAATAAAAAGTAAAAAAGATTTTGAGCATATCAAATTTATTGTAATAGAGAGGTAGCCATGTTAGTCTGATCTTGGTGAAACAAAGAAAAAAGTTATGTAGCATTTTAAAGACTAACAAGATACCTAAAAAATGTATTGTAAGCAATCTGTAATGCTTCCTAACTGCCCATTTACTTACCTAGTTAATCTAACTGTTTTTCACATTATCGCACAGTGAAAAACTATATGAGAGTTATTAATGTAAGAGATTAATTTACCTGTTGAAATAATAGTTTTAGGTAAAAATTTTTTGCAGTAACACACAACACAAGAATCACCCTCACTTTCTTGAAGGCACTTGAAGCAGTAAGTAGCCTAAGGCTGAGGA